GGCTTTCTCCACAGCAGCTTAGGACATCATGGGAATGACCTCCTTCACCCCCCAGTCCCTGGGGAGTGCCGCCAGGTCCCATCAGGGGTGAGAACCAGTGGGGGGGGGGGTCCTGCCCTGTGCCAGATAACCAACTCCCTCCTGTAATCAGGAAACCAAATGTCACCTTCCCAGAGAAACTTTATTTTTCACAAAGCTGAAGTGCGAAACATAGATGACTGTTTTTAATAATAAGCACAATCAAATTTTTAACCACAGAATGTCTACAAGAATTATAGCTTTAAAAAATACAACCAATTTTTATATTTCAAAAATATCTGAACTCAAATAAATTAATTTCTTAAAAAGTACACTTCTCATACTATTTGTTTGGCATTTACTCTGGTTAAACTCTGGTGCAGCCACACCCATGAGGTGCTGTCGCGCATGCATCCGAGGTGCGGACGCTGTGACGCGCGCAGCTCACGTGGTGGGAGGACTTGGCGTTCACACGAGTGGACAGAGGAACATGCAGTAATAAAATAGCTTTCCAAAAATAACAGATACAAATTCATCACAGACTATGCTTTTCACTGCAGCCTTAAAAGGCATTTTTTTTTCCAACCCAACCTGTATAGCCAGCCAGCATTGGGCAGTCGGTGGGCAAGGCACCCCATGGTCCTGCCTGGAGGGTGCCCCAGGGGCCTGGGGTCCAGCACATTCTTGGCATTCACTCCAGCATGGGTGGGGACGGGCTGCTGCAGACTCCGTGGGCCGTGGGTGACACACCAGTCCCCACATCTCTGCCTTATCTTTGGGAGCCGTGATGCTGCCAAACCGGTCTTAAGTTCAGGGGCTCGGCTCCTCCCCCAGCTGAAGACAAAAGGCCATCTCCAAGGCCCCCCCCAACCCCCTCCCATGTGGCCTCCATTTTGGAGCTGAACAATTAATCCCACGAAGCTGGGGCTCCCTAGCAGCAGCTTAATTCATTGCAAAGTGCTCGGGCCGCCGTCCCCCTCCCCCTCCCCCACCCCCCTCTTCCCCATGGCCATAACCAAACCTTAACAGGTAAGACCAGATTAGGTCAGGGCTCACAGCTTTCTCCTTTGAGGGCTCAGGGACACTTGGTGTGTGCTCAGACCTTTTCAGCTGAGACTGGTTGTCTTTCCAGCCAGAAGTAGAAACTTGATGCTTTCTCTTTTTTGCAGTCTGTTAATACCGTATCTCTGAAAGATTCCAGTTTTGTCACTTTCTATCACAGTATTGGGGAAAAGCCAGAGAGCTGGCTGGTTGGCTTCAGAGCACAAACCAAGGCACTTGCTTCTGAGCTTCTGAGCTTTTAGGGAGATGGGAAGTAAAACCGGATTGCTGGCTTGGGAGATCAGTTCCTGTGAAGGTGGTTCATACTCGCCGATGGGTTCCCCAGCAGCTGAGTGTTACCAGCTGGGCAGCAGCACGAGATGCTGACCTGCCTTGCAACACCAGGTCCGGGGAGGTGGGGGCACACGTCCGGCACTGGTAGAAGTGGGTGGTCGGTGTGCAAGCAAGTTCTTTAAGGCTGCCCTCAGCCTCCAGAAACACGTTGCTAAACTGTAGCTGCCCTGGCACTTGGGGTACAATCTGTTGGCCTCCCTAGGATTTGAACTGGGCTGTGTTGTTTGTTGGAGGTGGAAACCTACAATCCCTTGAATATAGCAACGAAGAAGTTAAAAGCTAGATGGGAAACGACAGGGGGCCTATCACGGTCCATTTCCAAATTCTGGTGCCATTCATCATGTAACTTCAGCCACTCTGCAGTAAATCATGGACAAGTCACCAATTCTAAAATCTGAAGATTCCACCAGGGAAGCAAGATCCCTAGGGAAACGGGGAGGTGTGAGGCAGCAGCTCAGGTCGGAGCACCCCGAGGGCCGCGGTGCTACAAAGGCTTTGGCTCCTCTCACACAGAGCTTCTGGCAATCACTACCACCGGACTGCAAGCCTGATCAGCCTGCTCTCAACCTGGACCTGCTTGAAAAAGGGGTGGTTGGAGGCGGGGGAGCGGTAATGGGTTGGAACTAAAGTTGAAATAAACCCCAGAGAGACACTTTTGGTACCTGGGCCTTCAAAGTGAGTTCAGGACTGACAAAGTTAATAAGAGGCACGGATGTCCTCTATTTTCTGTGAAGTGTTTTAAAAACGTTTTATTTGAGACAAACCTCAAACGAAAATTCTTAAAGAGCTCAGTCCCACTGCATAGGGCTCCCCATACCTTAAGATTTACAGATGTGGGACTTCTAGTGGGTTCCAGTTCTCCAAAGTGGAGGGGATCTGGGAAGGGCAGCTCCACTGTCTCAAGTGCCTGCCCAGAGTGGCTCCGTCCCAGGACCACTTTGAAATCCTCCTGGAAAGAAACACACTTGGCATCCAGCAACCCTTTGAAACTGCCACAATGGAAAGTTAGACTTTAACCAAAATTTCAAACCTGGAGTCTACCTACTGGTCCATGAAACCACGAAAGAACGACTCAAGGGAGACACTCCTTCCTCACTTGCTCTGAGGCCGGCCCCAGGATGGGACATACCTGTTCTGTTCACACCCGCCTGATCCCTCGCCTCAGAATCCTGGGGCCTCCAGAACCATCCCTGAGACAGAGCTTCTGCGCATACCCCCTCCAAAGTGACATCTACTTCACACCATGGCAGCGATGGCTTTAGCTTCCAGAAGGCCCCGTATGCCTGACCTCCTGCCTTGCTCAGTTTCCCAGGTGACAGTACGGTTAAACTGTGTAGAGTCCACAATGGTGTGAAACAGGAATGAAGAGCAACGGTGGTGCCGATGATCGCTTTCAGTCTTGTTATCCGGACCCCGGGGGCCTCTCCCGCCTTGGACATAAAATGCTGTAAGGTCACGTCCCTGGGGGCGTAAGCAGAGAGCAGCGAGCCACCCAGTTAGCAAAGCGGCATCTTGAACACGAGGGACACTGGTGGCAGCAACAAGGGGGGCGGCCCACGGAGAGAAACAAGCTTCCCACGCAGGCCTCCCCACGTGCAAACACACACTTCGCATCTCGAAGCTGCCAAGCCATTCCTGGCGACTCTTCTGTGTGTGAACATACGCAATGGGCACAGGTACAAAGAAAACCCGTGGGATGTAGACAGACCATCTGCCTCAGTAGGTTCTTTCTCAGTCACAGCCTCAGAAGCAAAATCACACACCCTCTGCCAGGGCCGTGGGCCCTGACCAGAAGCCGACGGCCAGGGGCTGATGGGCCGCACCCTCGTGCGTGAAGAGAAGCCGGGCCAGGAAAGGGCCGCAGGAGTGACGTGACACCAACGCCCCTCAGGGTCCTGCCTCCCCTACGTGCCCTCCACGGTGCGCCACGGAGCCGACAGGTGGGCAGGTCTCGACAGCGGGACCCCAACTAGAGAACACGGCGCCCAGAGATGCGCATGTGCAAGCTCAGGAGCAACCGCGCTGTGGCTGGTCCGGCGGCACAACTGTCTCAGAACACGTTAAAAAGCAGTCATACTAAGAGTTCTCCCTACTTGGAGGAAAAAAGCAGCCATAAAAAAGAAAAAAAAAAGTATAAAAATTTCAAGGTTGCAAGAAACCCTCCTTGTCCAAACCAATGGCAACTGTAAGGAGCGTCAGGGAGGTCACGGCGGGTGAAGCAGGGATTGTCTCCTTCCCCGAAGGGAGGACTCACATGGGGCTGGGAGTGAGCTGCTGTGAGGGGAGTGGACCTGGGGTACCTGCATGGGGCAGGAGTGAGCACTGGTGAGGTAACCATATCTGGGGGGCCTGCGTGGGGTGGGAGTGGACAGCGGTGAGGTGCATGTATTTGAGGGCACGGCGTGGGGGCAGGACTGAGCAAGGGTGAGGCCCACGTGGGGCAGATCCATGAAGACAGCCACCCAAGGAGGCTTTCCTCCTTCCCGGAGGAGACCCTGGCCCTGGGTTCTCGCCAGCTGGGCTGCCCCCCCAGACCACGCAGCTGAGCAGAACCCTGCTGTCGCCGTGCCCACGAGACCCTGCAAGAGGTAGTGAAGTGGTTGCAAAGGTTTGCTGCGGGTGGAGGACTGGGGGGAGGGCGTGACCTCTGCCGAGTCCCAGCATGTCTGCCGACCTTCCCCAAGAGCACAGTGTACACTCACTGCCGCCAGAAAGGGGGGCGGGCTACGCCCCGGAGGCCTGCTGGCTCCTCATCCCTTGCACCGTGCTGATGGCCTCGTGGCCCAGAGGCCCTGCCTGTCTCCCGGGCCCTCCAGCTGCAAGAGTGGTTCTCACTCACGAGCAGGGACGAGCGCCTGACTCGAGCCAATCCTGCTGCCCCGGGGGGAGCAGCTGCAGAGTCCACCCACAGGCACTTCCATGCCTAGGGAGGAAGCCAGGACCCAGACAGGGTGCTGCTCGCTCTCCCTGCAGCCCTGGGGCCCAGAAGGTTCCATGTCTGCCACCACCCAGTGAAGGCAGAGATGCCTCCCTCCACCTCATTCATTTGGGGGGCCTCCTCGGGGATGACAGGCTCGAAGGCGCCCGAGTGAAGGACCCCAGCTGGGATCTGAATGAGGCAATGGACGTTCTGTCATCCTGTTTCCCACTAAACCATTCCAGTGAATGCGGTGCTTCCCCTGATCTCGCCGCCCAAGTGTTTGGGAGCTGACCGTGCCAGCATGACCCTCCCATCCGGGCTTCACCTTTCTGCCCCTCATCCCGCCCCATCGAGAGAGTGCTGGCTCTCTCCCGGCCTGCCTCCCAGTCCTCAGGAAGCAGCCAAGCGGCCCCCTGCTGACCCCAGGGGCCACTCCTCGCCGGGCGGAGCGGCCTGTCACTGTCCTTACTGACGCCGGTGAAGAGCCAGGCACCCGCCTCTGCCCGAGTCCACCTCCCAGACCGCCGGATGCCACCCGGGAACCAGGGCTGCCACCTTGGGTTCCCTCCCCCGATGACACCAGAAGTCTCAACAGCTCAGAGGACCGCTTGCTCACGCCAACCCCTCCCCTCCCCGTACCCTGAGTCATAGGTCTCGGTCACAGTGGCTGGGGCGGGACCTCAGATCTTGTACAAGAAGCTGGGGACGTAGTCGAACCTGAGTGTGGGGTGGCTGGTCCCGGGAGCCTCCTGCGTGTAGTGCAGCTTCAGCAGCTCGGCCAGGTACTGGACCACCTTCACATCTTCATTCACCAGGCCCAGGTTCAGCTTCAGGAAGCTCGCCTGGCGGCTGGCAACCACTTCCTCGGTCTCCTTGTCGTGGGCGGGCAGGTGCAGGTGGTGGCAGAAGGCGTAGAGGAAGGCCTTGGAGCAGAGCTGGGTGAGCATGCTCTGGACGTGCAGATAGTAGGTGCTGCCCCGCTTGATCTGAGTGCGGTGGTCGGCCAGCCGGGGCACCAGGGTGCCTCTGTAGAGGGGGCAGCGGAGGGCTTTGTTGTCCAGGTCCAGGACGCTGGTGTAGCGGCTGTAGCGGCTCAGGGCGTGGAGGGTGCCGGCGCCGGCGGGGGACGCCACTCTGAAACACACAGGCCAACGTCAGGGGGAAAGGCTTGCGGCGGGGCCTCCCGGCTCCGGGGCCAGCTCCCGCCAGCCAACGCCCACTGGCTCTTTCTGGGCGGCAAATCTGATCATGATGCTCTTCAAACGGCTCCTCACCCCCCTCGTGACCAAGTTCAAGTGCCTGGGCGTGGCCCACAGGCCCCGCGTGACCCAGTTCCCACCTGTTACTTTCACAATGACTTCCTTGCAGCCATGCCACGCTTTCGGTAGGGCCTCAAGAATCACGGGCCTGAGTGCTCCACCCGGAACACACTTCCCTTCCATTTGTACTTGCTTCTATGCCAACTCAAACCTTACCCGGCCACCCGTGACCCCCTCCTTTGCTTCTCTACTCTTTTGCTTTGGACCTCGGCCAAGTTCCCTAAGCCTTCTGAGCCCCATCTGTACGACAGAGATAACCGGTCCTGCCTCACACGGTCACTGCAGAGACAAAACTGGTCGTGTTTAGGACAGTGCCTGGCCCTCAGTCTCATCAGCCTGGCACCGAGCAGGGTGGTGCCGGCCACCTAGCCCCCGTCTCTCCCACCGCACGGAGCTTCTGCAGGCCCGGGACTAGCTGATTTGGCCTCTTGGCCCACTCCCCGCTATGGCGCCCGCAGAGCAGAGGCAGAGGGCTTGCTCAACGAGGGAAGGGGTCAGGGTGACCCGCCCTAGGAAGCAGCTCTTTAAAACCCTCTAGATCGGTCTTCCCAGAGCAGCCAGAGTCTGCCAGCCTTGCAGGCTGGCAAAGCTCTAGCTGACCAGAGATTTCACAGACTGACACGTGTCTGGATTTGAGAGCTTGCGTTAGGCCTCAGGCATTGTGTACAGAGGACTGACAGGCACTTGGGGGACTAAGGCAATCTCGTTATATTTCTTCCTTCCTGGGTGGTGTCACGTCCCTGTACGGTTAGTAGCACCTACTATACACCAGGCGGTGACCTGGGGGCGGAAGAAGGGAGTGAGGCATGAGCCCGGTCAGCCGGGAAGAAAAGACATGCACACAGGACCCGGAGGGAAAGGGGGAGGCTGGGCCAGGAAGGTTCTGGAGGAACAGCCTCGGAGCTGGACCTTACAACAAAGGTGGGCTCCGAGAACCTGGGACTACACAAGAGCAGGGTCGCAGAGATGAGAAAACAGCCACATTGGCCGGGTGTCCCGAAGCCCATGAGGCAAGCAGTGGGCTGTGGCCCCCATCACGTGGGCGACGAGAAAGCAGGACCTATAGGCGGCTCACTGGCTTCTCGGGGACACGGGCCTCCTCACACGACCAATGTGCTCAGGCAGCTCCCGAGGCACCCTTGCCCCGCAACCCCCGCCCCAGGAGGGGTCCAGTCCATAAGCCAAAGGCCTCCTCGAGCTGGGCACACCCAGCCCCCCAAGGTTCTGCGCGGCAGCAGAGCCAGGCCTCACCCCGTCCTCTCGCTGCTCCATTCCAGCCACCGGTCGTGCTGAACACCTTGCCTCGGGCCCGGCCATTCCCGGGGAGCTCTGGCACCCCACACCTACCCCCACCTACAGAGCACCGCTTTTTCAGAAGATGCTGCCCCGTCTGACTCTTCCTCCATGTGTTTCCCCACAGCGCTCCTCACCAGGGGCCGAGGCAACATGGAAAGAGGTGAGCCCACACCTCTGGTCCTCGGCGGCACTGAGAGCCCCACGCTTCACCTCCCACACCTGTCTTAGATTCCTTACGGTCTGTCCCAACGCCGGGGGTAGGCTCCGGGCGGGCGCGAACACTGAGGCCCAGAGAGAGGCCATGGCTCACACAGGGTCTGCCAGCTACAAAGTGGTTGAGACGGGACTCAACCGAGGCCTCTGACCGCCCCCCCCTCCCCCAACTAGCACTTATTCCCGTCGGTACTGAGCTCTGTCTGGGGCCTGTTCCTGCGACTTGGTAGCAATACACTGATCCTTCATTTTGATTTAAAATAATAGGAAACCAACGTGATTATCTGCCCATCTCGTACCCACAAGTGATGGAGCCAACTCACGAGCATCTCCAGGCAGGAGGCCTACTTTAGGGAGAAAAAAAAATCAAGGGCTAATGAAACTGGCAGTTGTGAGGGTGAGAGTCAGTTCATCATCTCAGCCGGTTTTAGCTGGAGTCGAAGTACCTGACTGGGGAGAGACTCTCCTGGGTCACAGTTCTCGGATTCCAGATTAACCCAGCACACGGGCTCAACCCCCTCTAGAGCGGAGCTCCCCCCGGGCAAGGAAGTTCACGGCCACACAAAGGCCCCTCTTCTACTACTACTCTTTAATGCTGATCCTCAGATGGGCCTCCTCTGGCCTCCCAGTTTCAACACTGGCGCTGCCTGCTGGGGTGACTCACCGCTGATACCCACAGCTCTGAGCACTTCAAAGGGCGAGCACAGCACAGGGCGTTACGTTCTTTCCAGATGTGACCCTTTCCTGCAGCTCCACACAGGGAGCCCCAGAAGCCCTCTCACAGGCGTGTGCAACAAGCCTTGTTGAATGAATGAGAGAGAGGAGAGGCCTGGTCCAAATCCACACGGCTGATAGGGGAAGCATCAGGACCTGAGGTCACAGCACCCACAGCGCCCCCTCTACCCACCCCAGGCCACGACTCCACGGCTTTTCATCTCAAGACACGTTCAGATGGTGTCTGCTGCTCACCTCCCAGGATTTCCTTGGGAGAGCTGTGGCAAATCCAGTCCCCACTGCAGTGACACGGCCCCTAGGGAACAAGGCCTCCAACCCCCACCCACTGTATCTCACACCAGAGCAGGACCTCTGAAGGCAGACCTTGCTAATACCCAACATCCGTGCACGCCCAGAAGGTCTGAGAACATGAGCAACAGGGGACACTTCCCCACTCGGGGCTGTTTGCAACGCTCTCGTCTGTCACTTCTGATGGGCCTCTCGGCTTCACAGAGGGATGCTTAAAGGCTCCAAAGCCGGGCTGGTGAGGGCCACACTCAGCGTCTGCTGCCTCGGCCTGCCTCCCTTGACTCTGTATTCATCCCCGCTAGGTTATCAGAGACGCACTCACACTGATCAGACACAGACCAGATGCAATGGGCCTTTCCACACCCGCTCTCACGAGACAGGTCTTGGCAACTCCATCTGCAGATGCGAACAGCCTCAGAGGTCAAGCTGACGGTGTGGTGACAGGGCTGGGACTGGCGTGAAGGATCGCCCTTTGAAGACCGTGCTTGCCCTGTCACAGGGACGCACCACGCCTGACTCGCCTTATGATTCTGGCAGTGGGCCGAGTGGCTAGCACTTCATAGTCCTCTATAAATATTCGGCAAATGATCATTCAGTGATCCAACCCTCTCATTTTCCTAGGAGGGAACAAAGCCTCGAGTGGAGGAGTGACGTGCTCAGGTGCCCACGGTGGATGAATACTGGTAGGGCCAGCCAGGGACTCAGACCACCTCACACCTCCTCCACCTCAGGGAGCCCGCCCACCAGCTACCCTCTCTTGCAGCCACAGACTTCATGAACTGATCACAGCAGGCTGCCCAAGGCAGCCCCGCCCAGGCCTCAGAATCCTCAACGCCGCTCTCCAGCCATGTACCCAGCGGGACAGAGCTGGCGTAAGAGATGAACTTCTTCTGCCATCCTGGCACATTCTAAGGAGGGAATTTGGGGGAAAGCCCTCTGGGAAGGGCAAGACTGTCCTGAGCCAGGACCTGGATAAGCCAGCTGACAACAGACTGATGTGCGTTTTACATTCTCCATCTCGGGAGGAGGAAAAGGGAAAAAGGTCAAGGGTTGGAGCGAGGGGAGTGACTTGGAGAAGAGGTATGTGTCTGCAAGGGGCACGGACCCATTCTTCCACCAAGATCAGGGGCAAAAGCAATCCCTGAAAAGCCCTTGCCTTGCTGGGACAGACGGGTTACACCCGAGCACAGAGCTGGCATCAGCAGAGGGACCGGATCCTGGGAGGAAGGACAAAGTCCGCAGGGGCGCCCAGGGCAGCTTCTCACTCCCGAGCCTGGTTCTGCACCCATAAGCAAGGACCCCGCTCGGTGGTCTCCTGTGCGGCCCGAGGAAGGGGCTGGTCCAGGGGTCTGGGCCACGTCACACCAAGTCCCCATGTCATCACTCTTCCCCCACACTGGCAAGCTCGCCCTCCTGGTGTCTCCAGCGAAAGACCCCAAGCCTTCCCCAGGTGCCCCTCTCCCTCGCTTCCCACCCGTCACTCAGTCGCCCCCCTTTGTTTTCTTAGAACGTGTGACGCACCCGCTGTTGGCACTCTCCTCCCTGGCACCTGTCTCCCCTCCTCAGCTATGAATTCTTCCAGGGCGGTGGCCTTGCCCAGGTACCTGCAGACGGCACCCCAGCACCCCACCAGCATGGCCAGTGAGCCGAGGCAGGCCGTGGAGGTGCCACTTGCTTATTAAATGCCACCACCACAACCCCAGGGAAAGCTTTTTTCTCCTTTTAATTTACTGTTTAGTTTGAACACGCAGCAAGGGTCAGAGCGAGGGCCGGGTGGCTTCTGCAAGAGGGGCAAACGCCAGGCAACTTGGGTGGCAGGGACCTCACTGATACTAGGGACCGATGCAAAAGGAGAGTCGGAAAATTGGAACAAACAGTTCCTGATTGCAGTGTTCTCTCTTCCCATGCAGCACAAGAAGCACAGACTGGCTGTGTCAGCACCTCTGTTTTACAGATGTGCCAAGTGGGGTGCAGAGAAGGAAACGAGGAAACTGAACACCGTGCATACCCCGAGGGAAAGAGACCCTTGGGCCCAACAACTTGCCAAACAGTATCTGGAAAAAAGAAAAGGAGTCTACTGCAACACAAGTATTGTGGGAAAATGAGATAGAAAGCAATCAGAGAAAAGAGGAATTGGCTCTTCCGTTTCCTTATGAACACAGACTTCTAGGGGAAAAAAAAGACAGCCTCCTAAGGCAAATAGGACAGTGGAATGAAAGCCACTGGAGCCCCCGATGTCCCTGTCACCAGTGATGGCTGCCACCTTCTGAGACAACCATGGCCCTTTCTCAGAAGCCGATGTCTCTTCAGTCATTTACACCATAGTGTGAATTTGAGAATCAGCGAGAACCTGAGATCTCCAAGTTCGGTTGTTCCCCAAACCTTGCTGGACACCAGATAAACTCCAGGTCTCACTCCAGACCAAGTGAACCAGAATCTCTGGGGGGTGGGACCCGGAACTCCATGATCTAAAAAAACTCTCCTAAATAATTGTGACACGGCAGATCGCAGACCAGGGTTGGCAACCACCTCAGAACGGCAACCCCTCATGCGAGGGACGAGGAAACAGAAGGCCAGAGAAAGGAAATGATCTGCCAAAAGTTACAGAGTAAGCTGGTTAGTGTTGAGGGCCCAGTGTGGAAGCCAGATCGCCCAATTCCGGGCCCACCTCGCGACCCTGTGCACCTCCCCCAGAGAAATGTACGTCTGAAGCCTCGTCTCTAATGGGACGGGGCCCTTCCCCACCGCGGGTAACCAGTTACCTCTGCAGGCCGATAAGCTTCCACTTCTGAAAATCCATGATATGCAAAGGAGAGGAGACCCAGTGCTTCACCGGCTTGGCGAAACGGCTGTGGCTGGGGACAAAGATGGACAGCGCTGTCACCAGCTTCCTCACTATGGCCTCATCCTCCCCTAGGACGACAAGTGTCCTCCCGCTGAGCAAGGAGTAGATGGCCGGGTGGGCAAAGGGGTACTGACGGATGAATTTTAAGGCGTTCTGGCCAGCCCTCTTTTTATGCCTCTCGGAAGAGGGGCCGGTGGGGTGAGCAGAAGAGGGAGTCCTGTCCGAGCTGGTGGAGGCTACACTGCTCATGTTGCTGGTAGTGTCTGAGCAGTTGTCCAGGCTGGTCTTACTGGCATCCCGGCTCGCCAGCAGGCGGTTTTGATCCAGCTCATCGGCAGGGAAGCCTTCGGAACTGTTGTCTCGGGAAGGGCTGGTATTTTCCACGGCAAAGTCCACACGGAACCCCTGGTCCTTCTGCCTACAGCGCTGCGGAGGGATGCTCACTACTCCGTCCTGCTCCGAGGGGGTGTGGGCTGGAGTGGAGAGGGGCACCCGCAGACTGTCACTCTCCTTCCCAATGCAGCAGGAGGAGTCTATTTGTGACAGGGGATTTTCTAGGCTGCCCTCCTCTGCTTCACCCAGCTCCGGCGGGCTGACGCTTGCCTGGAAGTGGATGGCTCCCTCACTATCATCTGCATATGATTCTTCTTCGTTAATGGCACTTGGGTAGCTGGCCTTAAAATCATCAGGGATGAGGGCTTCCGAGGGGCAGGTGCTGAGGACTTCAATACTGTCCTCGCTGATGGTCCTGTGGCTGACTGCTTTGCTCCGGACCACCTGGGGGCTCAATGGCACCGTGAGGCTGGCCTGGCTGTCAGACTTAGGCAGCACAGCGGTGGACTTCTCCGTGCCCAGAACCTCGATGCTTTCGCCACTGCTGATGCTCCCTTTCATATCCATATCCAGGAAGTCCAAGTTTTCCTGGGGGTCAAAACTGCTCACTTCTGTCACCTCCGCTTCCCTGTACTCATCTCCGAGTTCCTGCTCCATCTTGATCGGCACAGACTCCACACTGGACTTGTAGGAACCAACGCTAATTAACACTTGAGGAATCGGACATTCTTCCAGAGACCTAGAAGGCGGCCTGCCGGGAACGGGCCTAGGGGGTGCGCTCTCTTGTTTCTCTGCCACCCTCTCATCGACCTCCACAAAATCTTCAAAGAGGAAGTTTGTTATATGCTGTTGTTTTAGAAGTGCTCTGTCAATCTGGCTGGTCAGGAGGTAGCATAGGTCTCCTCTGAACATGTGCTCTATGTGGCTGAGCTGAGCCAGGGTCTGGGTGAAATACTCAGTGTCACAGAGCTCTTCCAGGGTCTTCAACTTCTTGTCAAAACACTTGGTGGACTTTGCTTTGATGAGTTTCGGGGTATAAGCAGGTCTGCAGGTGTAAAGGTCTGGGTCGGCAGACTCATCAGGGTTAGAGGTAGTGGCTGCCTGGCTGGCCTGATCCTGGGTGTGCTCCGTCTCCCCAGAACACAAAGGAGACCCCTTCAACTTCCGATGAGGGTACGAGCGGATCTGCTTCAGCAGGTCTTGATGTTCAATGATGGACTTCTCTACACTAGCCAATTCATTGGCTTTCTCAATTGCCTGAGATGAGTAAAAGCCTTTGTCATTGGCCTTCTTCTGGATCTCCGTTTCCGTGTGCAGCACTGTCCTGGTGTAATCCAAGTCTTTCAGTTTTTTTTCAAGTTCTCCCGCAAATGCTTTCCTGTTGCCTGTCTTCAGGCACTCGGAAGCTTTGGAAAATTCAGCTGAGAGCTCCTGAAACTGCTGCATGATTTTGTGCTGGTCCGCTGAGATATAAGCCATGCAAAAGGGCCTCACAAAGCCCCGGGCCTCCAGGTCGTACAGGGTAAGGTGGTGCACATACGCAAAGGCTCCCTCCTTGGAGTCTCCCAGGACCACCTTGGAGTCCTCCACAAAGTTCAGCTTGGGGTAGGCAGAACCAGGGGGATGGCCCACAAAGGAGGCCTGGTAATCCACAGACATGATCCGCAAGGAGAAGTAATTGAGATCGAAAGTACCAAAAACTTTGGTGTCATTGGGGATGGTCAGCAAGGGTTGGGGTCCCACCTGCTCGGAGAACTCGGAAATAAGGATGAAGTCCCGAGAGAACTTGGCCCCGGACAGTTTGGACCATGGGTTGGTTCCCTGGCTGGCGAAGGGGAAGAGCGGCACCGAGTACTCCTCGGGCAAGGCGGGCTCATTGTAAGGCTCCTCCTCGTACTCCTCCTCTTTGGTGAAGGCCACCACGTCAGGGGCGCTGATCATATTTCCAGATATACGGAGAGAACATTGAGAGGAAGGGAGAAAGAATGAGGGGATAATCAACGCAGGGAAGCAAGGCCTCAGGAAGAGGAAGCAAAGTCCCTGCGGTCTTCTTTGCGCCCTCAGGGGTACTAGGCTGCCCCTCACACTGTCGAAGACTGGAACTCCCACAGTCCCCTCAGAGGTATAGCTCCTCCAGAGCCCTCAGAAGCCCATGGACTCCGCAGGTCCAGGAGACCCGGTAGGCCGGTTGCCCTCCTCCTCCTCCTCCTTCTCCTCCGGCGAGAGCGTCCGGCGCAGGACACCTGCAGCGAGGTCACCGGCACTCCCCCGAACCCACCGCGACAGCAACAGCCGAGCCCTGAACCGGTGCCTAACGCGGGGCGACGGGCCGCCGCAGGGGTCAGTCAAGCGTTGCCGCCCCCACGGCCCGAGGACAGAAACCGTCGCGGCTCCTCGGACGCCACAACCCGGGGCCAGCTACCGCGGCGCCGCCATCTTGGTGTCACATGACTCGTGGTGTCTGAGCCGCGTGACCCGGAAGCGTCCGCGTAGACTTCCGAGCGGGACAGAAAAATTGCGAGCTAGCGACGGGTTTGGGCAGAACTGCCCAGCGGCCTCTCCCAAGGACGAATCGACTTACAAACCGCTGTCAGGAAGCGAAGGAAGTGGGGCGGAGGAGCGGAAATGTGCTAGGGGTCCGGGAGCGCGGGGCCGTCTGGGAGTTGTAGTTCGCGGTCCTGTGGCGCTCGCGCGGGGCGGATGTAGCCCGAGAAGGCGGGCGGAAGCGGGACGCCTGCGGTGCGGGATTCCCGGCAGAGGCAGCGGGTGCAAAGCCCGGCGGGCTGAGGGGAGGTGACGGGCCGCGGGAGGTGGCGCTGGCGGCTCCCGGAGGCCCCAGTTCCCTTAGGACGGGGGCCAGGTGGACCTCACCTCTGGCTTCTCCAGCATGCGTGGGCACCCGGGGGGCGGCTGCGGGCGCGGGGCCTAGGGATGATCTTCCCGGTCGCCCGCTGCGCGCTCCGCTGGCTGAAACGGCCGGGAGCCCGGACCCTGTCCCGCGCTGCCATGGAGGTGGCCTTCCGAGGCGTGCGGAAAATTCTCTGTGTGGCCGAGAAAAACGACGCGGCCAAGGGGATCGCCGACCTGCTGTCCAACGGTCGCATGAGGCGGGTAAGGAGGCGTATTTCCGATCAGCTGTGCGGGTGAGGGAGCCGTCCCGGTCACGCAGCGGGACGGCGAGGCGCGCGCTGGGAACACACACGGAGGCCACTTCTCTGGCTTCTGGGTCATTGCATTGGCTTCCTGTCTTTTCCGAGAGATAGGCATGCAAAAGTATAGTCAGACGTTTCACCCGTGTGCTTGAAAACCTTGGCTCCTCCTCGTCCACGGCAGCGGCCCCCAAACTTGTCTGATGATCGGAACCAGCTGGGGCACCGGCTATTCTGTGGGTCTGGGGTGAGATCAGAGAAGTCTGTATTTTAACATTAGTCCCTGTGATTCGAAAACTCATTTGTTGGGAACCACTAATCAAAGTCCTTTGACTTGGTAGTCAGGCTCTGTCCGAGCATTCCCAGCTGACTAGCTCTCCCCATCTCTGTCGCATTCCCTGCGTTCTGCAGCCGCACTGACTTCGCAGTCTGTGAACGCATATTGGTGGGGCAGTACTGCCTAGGGTTTGGGATTAGAGCGAACGTCAGCCCTATTCCTATTGGTACAAACTCCAAAAAACAGGCAAGTAAGGGATGAGAATGTGTCCTAGACACGCTGGAGGTGCAAAGGAAGGGAAGGTAAAAGATTTTGTATAAGAGTTGGCACGGAGGCAGCAAGAACTGTTCAGGAAAATCTGTCAAATTGAAGTAGATAGTGAAATGGTTTTCTGGAGGCCATTTCTAAGAGTATGGGGAAGAAGTTCTCTGCCCTTTTTTCTTTAAAGATTCCCAAGGTCCTTAGACCTCCATTTCTAGCTCCTGGATAGTGGGAGCAAGAGCTGATGTGTTGTAGAGTGCAGGCCTCTGACCCCTCACATGGAAAACTCCGGTAGCTTTCTCCCTAGCCTTTCACTCCTGAAATTCTCCATTGCCAAAGTGACTTTATAAAACACAGATATGACCCCAGTAATCCCCCACTTAAAACCTACATTGTTTACCTCAATTGATGCAGAAAACGAAATTGATAAAAATTTAATCCCCTTCATGATAAAAAGCATTTTTTGAAAATCCCATTACTAACTTTAGCTGGAGGGTGAAAGACTGAAAGCTTTTCCTCTGAGATCAGGAATGAGACAAGATTGCCTGTTTTCCCCATTGCTATCCCAAATTACTAGAAGTTCTAGCTAAAGCAGTTAGGCAAGAAAAATACATCTAAATTGGAAAGAAGAATTAAAAATATGTCTATCTGGGGCGCCTGGGTGGCTCAGTCGTTAAGCGACTGCCTTCGGCTCGGGTCATGGTCCCAGGGTCCTGGGATCGAGCCCTGCATCAGGCTCCCTGCTCAGTGGGAGGCCTCTCTCTCTCTCCCACTCCCCCTGCTTGTGTTCCCTCTCTCGCTGTGTCTCTCTCTGTCAAATAAATAAATAAAATCTTTTTTTTTGAAAAAAATATGTCTATCTGCAGGACGCCTGGGTGGCTCAGTCGGTTAAGCATCTGCCTTCAGCCCAGGTCATGACGCCACGGTCCTGGGATGGTGTCCCACATCGGCTCTCTGCTCCGCGGGGAGTCTGCTTGTCCCTTCCCCACTGCCCCTCCTCCCTTCTCATGTGCTCTCTCTTTCTCTCAAATAAATAAAATCTTTAAAAAAAAATGTCTATTTGCAGACAACATGATCTTATAGAATAGAAATCCTAAAGAGGTCACAAAAGACCATTAGTGCTAATAAATTCGGCAAAGTTGCAGGATACAAGATCGACACACACAAATTAGTAGCAATGAACAATCGGAAAGAAAATTAAGAAAACAGTTCCATTTACAGTAGCATTCAGAAGCACATTGAAAACTACAACCTTCTACGTGTGTAGAGTCTTTTCATGGTTTTATTTTTTATATTCGGAAAGAAATCTTGATGAATCCTGCTGTACATTTAGTGACAGCAGTGTGAAAGTCCCTACAGAGTGCTTAGAGAAGGAACTTGTTTTAATAGAGTGGACAACACTGCAGAAGAGATCACGAAAGTTTCATTCTTGGTCTACCAGGTTGTTTTTGTTTTTGTTTTTCTTTCTCCAGACTCCAGAACTACTGTAATTTGGGAGCATCCACTTTCCCTGAGCACCTCACGCAAATGGAGAATCATACAAAATTGTACGCCATCCTTAGATGGGACTTGTAGGGGGGCAAGTTTGAAATGTCAGGAAAAACATTTCACATCCTCGAGGCTACCACTGGCAGAGGAGACCACCTAGAAGAGCCCTATTGTGGGGTCACACGCCATGTTATCAGACAAGTTATTTATCTTGAAAAGTGTATCTGAAACAGTGGTTTTCAGACTGCGTTCCCAAGAGACCCAAGGGACAGTGGATGTGGACCTCAGGAGTCACTTGGGGCTGGGCTGGGGAGAGGTTGAGTAAGCCGACTTCAACCTTGTTATATATATCAGGGTCCATGTTAGTGTTTGTTTGGGAAGGCTACAGAGCTTTCTTAAAAAGTCAGAAACCATTTTCTCGAAAAAAAGTTGTTGACACTGCTTCTCATGAAAAAAAATCAGAAACTACTGATTAGACAATTTCTACTCTATTACTAGAAGGGCTTAACTAGCAATTGGAGTTTGTAGGGAGGAATTTCTTTTCTTGGTGATATTGGCAACCAGTGAACTCTTAAGTATCAGATACTAAAATAAAATCCCTCTTAAAATTTGTCGTTATGGGGGCGCCTGGGTGGCTCAGTCAGTTGGGCATCTGCCTTCGGCTCAGATGGTGGTCTCGGGGTCCTCGGATCGAACCCTGTGTCTGGCTCTGCGCTCAGTGGGGAGTCTGCTTGAGGATTCTCTCTCCCTGTGCCCCTTCCCCTGCTCATTTGTTCTCTCTCAGATAAAATCTTTAAAAAAAAAATCATCCATATGCCTCAAAGAGAAACTCATTTACTATTCCACTCAGAAAAATTGTCTTTGTGAGACGGAGGAAGACTCTTCTCAACACTGACCCTTTTCTTGGCCCTTGAACATTTCTCCAGTTCCCAGTTGGCCATTTTCTTGTCTTCTGTGTCGTGTTGGTGCAAAACTGACGTGTGTAACTACTTTTAATGTCCCTGTGGAGAAAAGTGGGATCTATTCAGAGAGGGTCTTATTCATCCATGATCACAAGCTGAAGAATTGCTTATAGACTGGGTTCCAGTTCTGACTGGGGCTCATAGTGTTACTGGATTTTAGAGCCACAGGAGACCCCAGAGGTAAATTTATTCAAAAGTAAATTGATGTTCAGAAAAGTGAATGACTAGCCTGTGTTCACAGTTGACAGGTACAATTGTACAGCCAGAAAGTAGTAAAAGCATATGGGGAAGAAGGAGAAAATTGTCAAGAGAGTTATGTCCTAACCCTTCTTCTGCCTTTAATTTGTGATGTGACCTTGGACACATCCATTCTCATCCATGAGAAGATGTTATATTAGTTGACCTCAAGGTTAACCTTCCAGCGTAAAAACTCCACGGACTCTACCAATGGTGTGCTTGTAACTATTTCAAGGAGCCATTTGATAAATGGTCTTAGTAATATAGCCTAGTTTTTGTCTTTAGGAAATACTGTTACTTTTCAATATTATCGCTTGCCAGGGTTCTGCTTCATCTTTAGGCTGAGGAATCCTTTGTTTTCAACGTAATTGATTTATTGTATTTTTGTTTTATTATAGAGGGAAGGATTTTCAAAATTCAACAAGGTCTATGAATTTGATTATCATCTATATGGCCAGGTAGGTGGCTTTTAGATCCGTGTGCCATTTTGGGGTACGTTCCTGGAGTTTTTCATTATGGCTATAAAAAGAGCAGCTGTTTACTACAGGTCGTCCCTAAATTCCTTGTGTCTTGAGTTATTCGGTCGAGAAGAATGAGCCTGGCCATTGTAGAATAAGTCACAGTCTTTTAAGAATAACGATTGTTAAGACCTAAAGATCCCTGATGACAGGCAACCATTTTATAATTTATAAGGAAGTCACTTTTTAATTAAATGTGGTCCCATCTCTTTATAACAAGAAAGGAGCTAATACATAAGAGTTTGAGAAAACTTTAAATCCCATCAAAGGCATCATGGTGCTAGAATCAGAATGGTGATTGTATTACTATGGCATTTGGCTTCAAGGAGACATATCTATGTTCATTTCTTCCTGATCAACTAGGTTTGGTTTTATTTTTTTACAGACTTTTTTTTTAGAGCCATTTCAGGTTTTTAGAGCAAAATTGAGAGGGTGGTAGAGAGATTTCCTATAGAACCCCTGCCCCCCCACCGACACACACACACATATACACACTGCCAACCCCCACCCCCACCCCATGATCAACATCACTCACCAGAGTGATATATTTGTACGGTCGAACCTACACTGGCACATCATAAGCAGCCAAAGTCCATACTTTAGATTAGGGTTACCTCTTGGTATTGTATGTTCTACGGGTTTGGACAAAAGTATAACACGTATTCATGCTTCTAACACCATGTGGAGTATTCCCACTGCCCCTAAAGTCCTCTGTGTTCCGTCTGTTCATTCCTCCCCACCTCCCCCCAAGCCCCTGGCAACCCCTTTTTTTTTCTTTAATAGAAGTTTCTCCCTTTTATTTGGATGATCTGGCAAAATATAATTTCTAGAAGACTAATGTGAATTTTGTTATCATTCAGAATGTTACCATGATAATGACTTCAGTTTCTGGACATTTGCTGGCCCATGATTTCCAGATGCAGTTTCGCAAATGGTCAGTACAATTCCTAGGGGAAGAACTTTCTGATTATTACAGTAAGTTGTGAAATGCTACAGGAATTTTGAGGCATGTTGATCTCACTGTAGAGCTTACAATACTCAGGCGACTGTCTCAGTCCATTCGGGCTGCTGTAACAAAATGTCATCAACTCGAGGGGCTCATAAACAACAGAAATCTATTTCTCCCAGTTCTGGCTGCTGGAAGTAGGAGATCAGGGTGCCAACACGGTCAGGTGAAGAGCTCTCTTCCCCATTGTACTCTGCTGACCTCTCACTGTGTCCTCATCTTGTGGCAGGACTTAGGGAGCTCTGTGGGGCCTCTTTTATAAGAGCAGTAATCCCATTCATGAGGTACCACCACCCTTGTGACACAGTCACCTGTGAGAGTCTCTCCCTTCTAACACCATCACACTGGTGTTAGGATTCCAACATGTGCATTTTGAGGGGACGAAAACCATAGAGACCACAGCAGTGACCTAAGATCAACTAAACCATTGTGAATTTTTGCCATATGTTTAGAATAAACAACCACTCTGAAGTGTATTTCCCTTAAAATAGCTAGACCTATTTCACATAGTCCTTGGATTACGTTTATTCTGTTGCAGACATGCATGAAAGAGTTCCAGAATTTCTTCTTGGCCACTCCTGTTGTCACAGAAAGTAGGAAGTGCTTTGTACAGAGGGTCATAGCCTTGCTTTTAATTCTCTGGCGTTTTCATGTGGGACTTTTTCTGTTGGGGATCCATCTGTGAGCACACTGGGGCAATTTTTTCTCGTTAAAATGGGGGACTTTGCATGCTGTGTTGAGGTTGGATATGTTGTGTTTTCATTTCTTTTCTAGGCAGAGCTGCAATCCCCTTGTCCTCTTTGAAGCAGAAATTGAAAAGTACTGCCCAGAGAATTTTGTAGACATCAAGGTAGGTTGTTTTTGAAGACATGTGGCACTGGAGTTGAGCAGCTTCCAAGTACAAAATAATTGAACTGTGATTCCTGTGTTCCGAATGCATTAGAATCTAGAGATCAAGTTTCCCACCACACTTAGTACCATGATTTTATTTATTTTTTAACATACTTTTTAAAGATTTTATTTCTTTTAGAGAGAGAGAGAATGTGAGTGGGGGGAGGGGTAGAGGTAGAGGAAGACGGAGAACTCCAAGCAGACTCCACGATAAGCGTGGAGCCCAGCTCAGGGCTTGATCCCACAACCCTGAGATCACAACCTGAACCAAGAGTCGGACGCTCAACCAACTGAGCCACCCAGGCGTCCCAGTACCATACTTCTAAAAATTACTCCCACTCATATAAATGAGGCCATTTAAACTAAGTAGCCAAGGAACTAAAGTAAGCCTTTTTGTAAGTAGTGGTTGTTTAAATCCTGGGAATAATATTGTTAAGTTATTAATCCTAGATTCAGCCCTAATTAACATGGAGAGACCACAAAGTGTAAAGGGTCATTTGACAGCAAGTCAAGCAGTCAGAGCACCTATAATTAGTTCACTGCTAACTGGGAAGCCTTCTTGGGGTAAAACTCAATTTAGGGATTTTTTTTTTTTGGGGGGGGGGACCAGTTCATTATCAGAGCCATGAGAGTTATAAGTATGCGTTAGAACTGAGTTTTAGGTTTCATCAGACTTGGGTAGTTGTATTAAACCCTCAGGCTTCTAGAAGCTCACTTACAGGTCTGTCATTCTAAGCTGGAGGATTGTACTAGTGGCCTTGGCATCCTTAGAGGTGGTAAGAGCAGTTTCCCAGATCTCTCCTTCTCGCCAAGTTGCCATATTCCAAGAACATCACTAGTCTTCAGTCAAATCTCTTTAGCAGAGAGGTGTCAAGTGATTGCAGTTGTGCTCTCCCTGCTCTTTCCCCGCTGGGAATTTCAGAAAACTCTAGAACGAGAGACTCGGCAGTGCCAAGCCCTGGTGATCTGGACCGACTGTGATAGAGAAGGTGAAAATATCGGGTTTGAAATTATCCACGTATGCAGGGCCGGTAAGTGCTGTGGCTTCTGAGTTTCTGTAGTTTGGGACCACAGAAGTAGATGGTTCCCCTGTGCGAGTGGGCCGTGGCTGAGTTCCTCCCCAGAGAGTCTCCCCGCCTGGATCCATCAGTTCTCCCCAACTATGTGTCCTGGAGCAAGTTACTAAACCCTCGGGTGCCGCATCTTTCTGGAAAGTCGGGCCAGTCTGACACAGCTGTTAGGGCTGCATAAGGACTAAATGAGTTAACCAGTGGCACAGACCGTGTAGCCTAGGGCTTGTGACGTGTTAGGTCCAAGTACATGGCCAGCTCCTCGAGAGCAGGGACTTTGTATGTCCTATTTCTTTACGTATTAAATATTTCTAAGAGAACGTATATACGACATATGTGCAGTATGAAGAATAATTTTAGAATGTCGTGTTTGTTTGTCTGCTGTGTCCTTTGTACAATGCCGGGATGTTAATACGTGCTTGTTGAAATGAATTTAAATGACTCGAACAGGGCTAATGATTTCAGGTAACTTAGAGGAAGTGATGCGCAGCCCATTCTCAGGCTTCAGAGAGTGGACGGCTTCTGTTTTCCCAAAGTGTGTTTGTGTACTTTGGAGGGCTGTAATGACTCCTGGGAATTTAAGTACATTAACTTTCAGGGACAGTGTACATGTCCTGTGTTATTTCCATGCCAGGACGTGAAATTCCCCCGTAGGATCTTTTCGTTGACGACATTTTTATTTTCCGTAAGTGTCTAAGAGAGCAAGTGAGATTAGGATCTCGAGAGGCTCACCAAGAGGATAGCCGAAATTCACTTGAATCCCTAAAATTCATACCACTGTTATTTCTGACAACACTAAATTTAGCGGTTATAGTGAAGTTTTCCTTGTAGGTGGCTAGGCATGCTGTTTATTTAATCTAATCAGAAAATTGGGTGCCTCACAGCGTCTTGAGACGGTTTTCCTTCCATTCAGGGTGGTTTAAGAAAAATGGGCCCTTTATGCTGGGACGGCAAGGTGATTTGACTTTGACCTTGGTGATTCTTGCACAGTGAAGCCCAGTCTGCCGGTGCTGAGAGCCCGTTTCTCTGAGATCACCCCCCGAGCCGTCCGGGCGGCCTGTGAAAACCTGACCGAGCCCGATCAGAGAGTGAGCGATGCCGTGGACGTGAGGCAGGAGCTGGACCTGAGGATTGGTGAGCCACCGGCGGACTCCTGGGCGCCCACGTGGCACACTGGCTGTTGGGTTACAGAACTGAGAATGACGTTTGTGTGTAAGTACGTGCCCCTAGCTTTGATCTTACGGTCCACCACTTTCTCCTTCCTTCTTCGTTCCTCCCTCACTTTCTAGGAGCTGCCTTCACGAGGTTCCAAACCCTGAGGCTTCAGAGGATTTTTCCAGAAGTGTTGGCAGAGCAGCTGATCAGTTACGGCAGCTGCCAGTTCCCGACCCTGGGGTTCGTGGTGGAGAGGTTCAAAGCCATTCAGGCTTTTGTGCCAGAAATCTTCCACAAAATTAAAGGTAAGGCTGGGGGAGTTGTTGATGGTGTGGAGCCGAAGGGCCCGGGAAGAACCAGGAGCGTAAATGGCACTAATTAACTTTTTCAGCCTTGCTGTCCTTCCTCCCACCCCATTACAAGGTTCAGAATCCACTTAGTTTTCTTAGGGACCCAAAAATATTCCCAAAGCAATGTTTCATATCCCTTTGGACTTCCACTGCAATATACTTTCTCCTCTCTGTCTTATCATATGGCTTCCGTGAGTCACGGCATTCCCGTTTGTCCCCAATACAGTAACTCATGACCACAAAGATGGAGTAGTAGATTTCAACTGGAAAAGGCATCGTCTCTTTAACCACACAGCTTGTCTTGTCCTCTACCAGCTGTGCATGGAGGTAAGAAATATTTGGAATTTTAATGATCTGGGAAAACTGTTCTGTAAGTTCCCAAGCCAGTCTTTCTCTGTTAGGGGAGGTGATCCTGCTCCATTTTCCTGCTGAACCATAGCTTTCCGCTTGCATCTCAGTATCATTTTTGGGGAACCAATAAGACCAGAACTCCATGAAAACAATGCTCAACAGTCTGAAAGTAAAGGATCTGTAGACCTTTTAGATGAAGTCAGAAACCGTAAGAACTGTATAGCTTCACTCTCTCCCTGCAGCAGAATGCTGTCACCAGAGATAACTCGGGATCTTCTAGACCAGTCTAGAACAATAGACTCCTAGAGCTGGAAGGAGTTTAGACAGCATCTGGTCCAGCCTCCTCTTCCACTGGTCAGATGAGGAGATCTAGAGAGAAGAAAGTCACAAATGAGCAAGTGAATTTCATACGGGGACTGATGCCAGGAAGTAAAAGGGTAAAGGAACAGAGACCTGCCTTGGGGGCGGGGGGCAGGGAATGGGAATGTACTAGGTGTGATGGTCAGGGAAGGCCTCACAGTGACCTCTGAGTGAAGGTCAGGGTGATTAGCAGGAGGCAGCCAGCCACAAGAGAGCCTGGGGGAAGCACGGGTCAGGAGAGCGCAGCACGTCAGAGGGCCACAGGCGGTCGGTGGCCGAGCTGCAACCTGTGTGGTGCTCAAGGAAAGCTCAGAGATCTCTACTTTGATGAGTCATGTATGCCCCTGGCCGAAGCCCCCAGGCAGGTTTATTAGTGATTTGGGAAGGGGGATGGTAACTTGTGAGTACCTGCTACAGTGCCTGACAGTGTTACGTGATTTTATTCAGTCCTCCTGGTGCCTGTGAGGGTGATGATGCTGTCCCCGCCTTACAGGCGATGTGGAAGGAAGTTAAGTAACTTGTGCACAGACTCTCTGGAGTTAATAAGGAGCAGAGCACGGCTGGATCCCAGTGTATGTGACTCTCCAGCCCCTTCTGCAGACCACACTGCCTCCCAGGAGTCACTCTCCCCACTGCTCCACCCTTTGACCCTGGAGGTCATGCAACCACCGGGCATGTCTGTAACACTGCACGTTTATCTGTCAATAAAAGGGAGCTGTCCTTTTTCTACTTCACTAGAATGTGGTGCAGGAAATCCTGGCAAGCTGGATACTTTTGAGTTCCTCGTAAAGAGCACCTGGAGCCAACTCCCATTTGCGGAGAGAAATGTGGATTTTGAAATACGTCCTCATCAACAAATCAGTTAGACTGAGTTCTTTGTCCATTTATAGTCTCTTAAAAGTGTGAAGTTGGGCAGGGTGCCTGGGAGGCTCAGTCAGTTAAGCATCGGGCTCTTGATTTCAGCTCAGGTCATGATCTCAGGGTTGTGAGATCGAGCCCCACGTCGGGGTCCACGCTGGACATGGAGCCTGCTTAAGATTCTCTCTGTCTCCCTCTGCCCCTCCCCCACCCTGCTCTCTCTCTCAAAGAAAGAAAAAAAGTGTGATGTCAGTCTTAAGATTGAGTTCTCCAGCTTGTAGTGTATAATTTCTCCTATTTCTGACTTGGTATTATCCTGAATTTTTAAAAAAAAATGTACACTGCTCCTGTAGATAGGAAACAGTTCTTCAGAGATGCACAGACTGTTGTGAGGGCTTATGAAGTTGCCCCTCAAAGCCTTGGTTTGAGCGGGAAGGTGGTGATATCTCCACCACACTGTGGGCTACAAGCCGACCTCACTCGAGGTCCTCTCACGGCCGGAGCAGGGACCTCTGCTGGTGGTGTCTTCCAGAATGGTGAGCTGAGGCTGCTGCAGGAATGCTGGAGAAGGTGCACCAACGGGTTAATGTGGCCTCTGCTTTTTCTGGCTTTCTAGGATCCCAGGGCAACCGTGGTGGAGGTCAGGTCTAAGGCAAAGAGCAAGTGGAGGCCTCAAGCGTTGGACACTGTGGTATGTTCCAGAAGAGTGCGCCAGGTGCTCAGGAGCTCTGACTTCCCATGGTGGGGACCCAGCTTCTGTGGCAGATGGTGGCCCAGTGGCAGGAAACATCACCCTTTACGGGGCCATGTAGGAAAGTGCTTGGGAAGAAAAAAGCCCCGAAACAGGGCCTGCTTAGTCTTCTAATGCTGGGGTTTGTTTTTTTTTTGTTTGTTTTTTAAGTTAATAAATGCAGTATAGCTGCTTGTGTGGGGTTTGGGAAGCAAAAAGAGGAAGACACATCACCCCTCACCTTGCCAGCCTTACGCAATCTCTGATACAATCGGAGTGTCTTCCTATTTTTTTCATACGCGTGTATTTTACATTGTTGTAATTGGAATAGGTTGTTTTTTCCGCCCAAGCATTTTTTTTAATGTTTCTGCATGATCTGTGTACACATCACTTTTTTTTTTTTAAGATTTTATTTATTTATTTGACAGAGAGAGACACAGCGAGAGGGAACACAAGCAGGGGGAGTGGGAGAGGGAGAAACAGGCTTCCCGCCGAGCAGGGAGCCCGATGCGGGGCTTGATCCCAGGACCCTGGGATCATGACCCAAGTCGAAGGCAGACGCTCAATGACTGAGCCACCCAGGCGCCCCGACACTGACTTTTCTGATATGGAAAAGGCATTTCGAAATCACTTCCTAAAATAAGAGCCCATAGAGTGAATTCACATCCCACTGTTGACCTCTCAGCAGCTGCCCCCAGGGCCTTGGCGGGTGGCACACAGCACCTTTGGGAGTCGTTTGCCATCGTAAACCATCTAGGGACAGTTGTGGTCCACACAACCAGTGTGGCAGCCGCTCACCACAGGGGACTGTTGAACACTTGAAATTTGGGACGTGCTATAAGTGTAAAATATGCAGTGGGTTTTGAAGACTTGTATGGAAACAAGAATGTAAATTATCTCATTAATGCTGTTTAAGTGGCCAATAAAAAAAATGTTAAATTACATGGAGGGTCCACATTATGGTTTATTAGGCAGCATTATTCTTTCTTTCTTTTTTTTTTTAGCATTTATTTTTTAATTTTTTTTCAAGATTTTATTATTTGAGAGAGAAAGGGGGGCGAGCGGAGGGGCAGAGGGAGAAGCAGATTCCCTGCTGGGCAGGGAGCCCAACCTGGAACTTGATCCCAGGGCCCTGAGATCATGACCTGAGCCGAAGGCAGATGCTTAACTGATGGAGCCACCCAGGCGCTCCCCCCAGCATTATTCTTTCTGTGCTCGAAGCGAAGTCGTAGAAGCATGCTCTGTTGCCGCTGTCAAGGCTGTGGGGGTCACTGGCACAGCGATGAGGGATCGGGCCGGGGCTGTGTCCCCGGCCACACAGGTGCTAGCAGGCCTAGTGGGAGTGTGTCCCGCCCCGTGCTGCCCGTTCACTTATGCTCTGGCTTCTCGGAGCGTCTCAGCCAGCGAGACTACTGTTGCTCACCCCATTGTGGGTCCCATGTGAGAACCTTCCTCAGCAGAGGGAAGCTAGGTTGCCTTCCGTTGAGCCGTCAAAGGCAGATGGGGCATGACAGGTGTTTCCGGGGGTTTCCAGTCTAATTCAGCTGTTTCTAGAGCAATTATAACAATTTCTTTTTCTCTTTGTTTGCCTTTGTTCTAGGTACATCAGCTATCCTCGTACTGAAACAAACATCTTCCCCAAAGACTTGAACCTGACCGTGCTGGTGGAACAGCAGACCCTGGATCCACGCTGGGGGGCCTTCGCCCAGAGCATTCTAGAGCGGGGTGGCCCCACTCCACGCAACGGGAACAAGTCTGACCAAGCTCACCCTCCCATCCACCCCACCAAATACACCGACAGCTTGCAGGTCGGTTTTCCTAACCCTGCCTCCTGGAACCCAAGGGGGAAGCGAGGGGTCAGTAGCACTTGAATGTACTCTGCGGGCTCTTACTTTGCACAGTGATTTTGAAATAGCTCTTCCATTTTAGCAAAGAGATGTCATTTCAAAATTCTCTTGCTTCACCATCTTGCTTGGCTTCCATGAGCCCCCTCCCTCCCCCCAGGTTGGGCTCTACTCTGTCCAGCCCCACTTCCCGCTCTGTCAGACCCTCCACACTTGGCTGGGCAGTTCACCTTCCCTGTGCCTTTGCACAGCCCCCATGGGGCCTCCCCAGACTGGACCGGGTTCCATTGCCATCCTGAGGCGGTGACACCCTGACACTGGCCTCCTGTCGTGGTCTAGGGGTGGCAGGGCTTTGAGGCAGCCCTGAGAAAGCTCAGGCATCTCACCTGGTACCGCCCTTCCTCAGCTGGGGGATGCACTCCGTGAGGCCAAGCTGGTTGGGCTTGTTTGCAGGCTTATTGCAAAGCTAAATCCTGCCTGGTCTTTGTTTCCTTCTTTTATTAATACATACTGTTCTTCTCTGGATTTAAATGTGATATGTGTTTGTTTCAGACAATTTAGGAAATTCAAAAGATTATAAGGAAGAAACATTTGCCGTTTCCCCATATGCTGAAATATTTTCAAGTACGACACTTAATGACTGCGTAGATATACCATAATTTATTTTGCCAAATGTGTTTTTTAAGAATAAATTGCCCCCAACTTTCTGACACATGATGACAGTTAACGTTTGTGTCAGTGTTTGTGTGCGCCTCCCACTATTTCCTTGGGATCCGTTCTTAGAAGGAGAATTACTGGCTATGAGTATGAGTGTCTTAGGGGCTTTTGACAGATCGAGGCTCACTAGACCCTTGATTACTTACTTGGTAGAAAATCACCACAAACCCTGGGAGCCGGGGCTGCCGGCTACAACTTTCCTGTGTCTTGTATACAAGGGGTCTCTTGTTAGCTGTTACGCTTTTACCCTGTTTTCTCCTTCGGCTGGGTTTACGTCAAAAAACATGTTTGCCTGGGACTCCGTGTGGGTGCAGAACCTACAGGAGCCACGTGCCCTCTTCTGTGCAGAACTCGAGGCTGAAAGGTGGCCTAAACCAGGTCAGACTTACGGTGAGGCTGTGGTCCTTGGGCGGTAATATTCTGCAGGGAGTTGCAGACTCTTCTCTTGTCTTCCTAGGGAGATGAGCAGCGACTATATGAGTTCATCGTGCGGCATTTCCTGGCTTGCTGCTCCCAGGATGCTCAGGGGCAGGAGACCACCGTGGAGATCGACATTGCGCAGGAACGCTTCGTGGCCCACGGCCTCATGATTTTGGCCCGAAACTATCTGGACGTGTACCCGTATGACCACTGGAGTGACAAGGTAATAAAGCGCAGGCCCAGTCAGAGGTCAGAGTTCACGTTCTCCGTGGGCCTCGGGGAGAGGGGAAGACAGTCATGTTCCCGAACCTCATGCCATCCGACGGAACAGGGCCACGCGCTTCAAAATGGCAGTTGTCTTTTGCCCCAGTGCCGCGCAGAATGATCGGACCAGTGCTTCTGCTTCTCCCTGTAGACCCTCCCTGTCTACGAGAGAGGCGCCTGCTTCCAGCCCAGCACTGTGGAGATGGTGGACGGGGAGACCAGCCCACCCCAGCTGCTCACTGAAGCCGACCTCATCGCCCTCATGGAAAAGCACGGCATTGGTCAGTACCCTGTCGTCGTGGTAACCAGCTCTCCTACCTCTTCTGGTCTTCGGGACAGCTGTGCCGTGGGTGTCCTCTTGACGCCCTTTATAGCTGAAGGGAGGCATAGAGAAGTTCAGAACTTGCCCGAGGCCATGAGGTGTGTGAGGTTTTTTGGTTTTTTTTT